GCGACTCTTAATCGGTAAAGTTCACTCCAAAAATTGAAAAAAAAAAGGAACTGTAGCTCATTTGCGGTTGCACCATGGGCCAACCGCAGCTCACTTGTGGTTAGTCCATCGTGCAACCGTAGCTCATTTGCGGTTCCACCATAGGCCAACCCAACTCACTTGTGGTCCACCATGGGCCAACCGCAATTGAGCTGCAGTTGCACCATGGACCAACCGTAACTTACCTTAGGTTGAGCGTTTTTTTGGAAATTTCGGTAGAGAACGGGCGACGACGACGGCGGGAAAGGCACCGACGAATTGGTGCGTCGAGAGGGATTCCCGAAGAAAGCAGATGAGGGGTTCAATTTGAGGAGTTAGGGATTGTTTGGTTTGTTTATGTCAATAATTTAAAGTAATTAACAACTTTTTGAGTGGATGGGGGTGGATTAATGGGCCGGGTTATTAACAACTTTTTGAGTGGATGAGGTGGATAAATGATATGAAGCATTCATTTCTCTTTCTCTTTTAAATAAAATAAAACTAAAACTTCAATAAAAAAACTAAAAACAAATATCGTAAACTTGAGGGGGATTCTATTCAACATTTGAAGTATGTTCCCTTTTCGGCCTAATCAGATTATCTAAAGTTACTCTCCTACTAAATTTTTTTTATTTATTTTTGGTCTGCATTGTTGAGATATTTTGACCAAAACATGTTAGTAAGTTAAATGATATATTAAGAACCAATAATATAATATTCACGCTATTTCGACTTTCTCAATTTTAATTCTAAAAAAATATACGTACTTACACTCTGTCCCGTTCTCACTCCCGCTCTTCGAACCGGTAAGCTAAATCTGTTAAGTCAAGTTTGCAGACAGAGAAACAAATGTAGATTGTACAGGCATTCGTTAACTAACATATTATTCGTAAGCAGATGAGATTTTATATCATTTCTAAATGTATAAACAATATAATTACTTTTTCATATATTCGGACAAAAGCATACTAACATGATTGGACCATTAACCATCAACCTACTTACTCGGCAGGGCTAACGGGCTAAAATGGGTTGACAACCTTTGATTAGTTCAATAGTTCAAGTTTGGTCACTCTTCGTTAGTTTTTGCTGATGTGGCAGTCAACTATTATAGTTGACCGTTAAATGAGTGACGTGGCCATTAAAAAAATAATAAAATAATAAAATTTAAATATTTACAATTTCCACCTCATTTTACAATATTAAAAAATAAAAATAAAACTTACCTCCGCCATTTACGCCACCGTGGCCATAACGCGATCGTCTCCACCGCCGCTCCTTCCTCAACGCCGGCCTCGCTTTGCTCTCGCCAACAAGCGCTGGGTAAAAACTAAAAACAGAATTCCTCCTCTCTTCCTCTGTTTTTTCCCCGACGAGTATCCAACTAATTTCACTCCAATTAATGATGATTATGTAAAAAAAATAAATAGACTCCGCCTCCTGGGAAAGGAACTCTGTACATAAGGCCTCTGCCAATGGGGAGCGGTCCGATTATGGGGTTGGAGAGGAAGATTTTGCAGAAATCGCACCATTTGTTCCCTTGGCTGACCCAGTACTGAAAGATTCAAAACCAAGTTCCTCAAAATCAAATTCGGCATTGGCAATTAACAGAAATTGAAGGGACGATGAGGAAAATATTTTACATACCTTCGTCATGGCTGGGTTGAGGAGGGGTTTCACCCGCGGCCGACGATTGAAATCTTGTTGGGGCGGAAGATAAATCAAGCTACCAATCGTCCAATTTTCCGGGTAAAGAATGAATCTTTCTAATAAACCATAGAAAAAAGTTTTGCGCCCTAGAAAAAGCTTCGCTCTCTCGATCTCCTTCTCTTGGTTTTCTTCGATTTTTCTCCGGCTCGGTATTTCGGAATTATGATGGATCGATTTCGTATCCGACCGCCGCTTTTCGTTTTATTTCTCTTCCGCTTTTCGTTTTGTTTCTCTCTTCCAAAGCAAAGCGAGGCCGGCGTTGAGGAAGGAGCGGCGGCGGAGACGATCGCGTCATGGCCACGGTGGCGTAGATGGCGGAGGTACGGTTTATTTTTATTTTTTAATAGTTGTAAAATGAGGTGAAAATTGTAAATATTTAAATTTTATTATTTTTTTAATGGCCACGTCACTCATTTAACGGTCAACTATAATAGTTGACTGCCACATCAGCAAAAACTAACGGAGACTAACGGAGAGTGACCAAACTTGAACTATTGAACTAATCTTAGTGACCATGAATGGAATTAAATATTTGCAGTGGCCAAACATGAACGGTTTTAGTAAACCCAGTGACCATCCTTGCAATTAACCCAAAAAAATTGGGTTCCAATTTTGATGATTGTCAAATTGATCAATACTTGAAAAATTTACAGAGTTCGGTTGAAATTCAAATGTCGGTCTTCAAGATTATTTTGTCACGGACAAGTTTTTGTATTTAGATGTAGTTGGAACGGATGGAGGATGGGATTGTCCCTACTAATTATTGGGAGTTGCATAAGGAGAAGATTGACATAAAAGGGGGTAAATTTAATTTGTTGTTTCAGACCGGTCCATCCGTGTTTCGACCGCGTTTAACAAAATTTTATAAAAATTGTAACAAATGGTAAGTTTTATAATACATATATTATATAGTATGAGAGCATGTTTGAAGTGAAAAATAGTAGAGGGATAGATTTGAGAAAAATGAATAATAGAGTGATAATTTATGCTATTAACTCCACATGGAAAGTCAAATATCGTATAGGTAGAGTAGAATTTATGATTTATAATGTTTTGATTTTTACTATTGTTGTATGTGCATTAGTATCTAACACTTAACATCTCCCACTTATTATTCAAACAAGCCTATATACTAAATTATAATAATTTATATAATAAACATTATTTTCATATTCTTCCATATTTGAGATTTCTAGATATAACTTTTCATTATTCTCTTGATTTTTTATATACTTTCAGTTCATACCAATTCTAAATGACATATTTCCTTCCAACTCTGAATTCATACCCGACAATAAGAAGTATAAAAATTCTTATAAGATATGAAAAGTATACATAACAGTAAACTAGTACAACTTGATAAACCCATCCAATTCTTGGGAACGGATCAGGTCAGTAATCTTATAGTCCGTAACCATGAGTAACCCATCCACATCAGCATGACATCACTATCCTTCTCTTTGCTGGAAAGTGTTTTATCTTTTCCCCTTTAATCATTAACGGTCGATTTCTCTCTCATTTTAAATTGAAATTTAATTTTTTTTTTGCACAGAGGAATCAGATTAAATGTGCTCTTTAAAATGATATCCACTTTGGTATATTTTTAGAACAATAAAAATTGAATAATTTTTTACCAGTCATTACCATATGGTATGTTCATATTTAATACCATATGGTAAGAAACTGTACCATGATGGTATAAACATACCAATATGGTAAGAAGGTTGAATACATGATAGTAGGAGCATACTAACTGTCATTTACGACTTTCATCATTGTTTACCATAAGTTACCACCCACATACCATAGTGGTAAAGTATGGTAATTTTTTGTCTAGTATTTTTTTCACCCATAAAATTTTAGATCCAATAGATCATGATGAACTCGTTCTTTCTGAGCAAACGTTTTCGAAAATGACTTAAAAATGAAGAAGTTACCATATGGTATGTAGTTGGTAAAAAAAATTTCTCAGAATATATTGAAAATTGATCTCATTTTGTAGAGCACAACGAACTCGTTCCATATGTGCAAAAAAAATTAAAATCCAAGTTAGAACGAAGAAGATAAGAGCCGATTATGAAAACTAAGAAAAATAAAATGCATTTAATTGACAACACTTAGATCATAGGTCAGTAACTATTGGAATGGTTACTGACCCTATTCTAAGCCTTATTTCTTATGTCACAATAAAAAAATGCCATAAATATTACTTTGAAATAATGAATTAACTATTTTAGAAAACCTCAAAAGTATTCAAAATATTAAAAAAAAATTGATCAACATAATAAAAATAATTCAGCCCGACCAATGAATTAGGTAAAAGCTAGTAGTTTAATAAGTCCAATCCAATCCAAAAGAGCTATTGCTCATGCAACCGGGAATGGATCAGGTCAGTAACCTTATGGTGAGTAACTATGAGTAACCCGCCCACATCAGCATGACATCAGCATCCTCTCTCTCCTGGAAAGCTTTTAATTTTCCCCTCCTTAATCTTTGACAGACGATTTCTCACTCGTTTTAAGTCGAAATTTAATTTTTTTTGCACAGTTAGATCATATTAATTGTGCTCTTCAAAATGATATCCACTTTGATATATTTTTCGAACAAAAAAAATTGAGTCATTTTATACCAGTCTATACCATATGGTATTGACTGGTATTGAAATAAAAGCATACCTATGGTTTGAAAAGCGTACCATGGTGGTATGGCACAAACCAAGACTGTAGGATGATTGAATACATGATAGTAGAAGTATATTAATTGTCATTTACGACTTTTAACATTGTATACCATAAAATACCATAAAATACCACCCGTACCAGGGTGGTATTGTATGGTATTGTGTGGTATTTTTTGGTCTTGTAATTTGTTCACCCAGAAATTTGTAGATCAAATAGATCAAGATGAACTCGTCCCTGCTGTGCAAACGTTTTCAAAAACGAATGAAAAACGAAGAAAATACCATATGGTATGCAGTTGGTATCGAAAGGCCAGAATTTTTTTCCTCAAAAAATATTGAAAATTGATCTCATTTGTAGAGCACGATGAACTCGTTCCATCTGTGCAAAAAAAATTAAAATCCGAGTTAAAACGAAAAAGATATGAGTCAATTAAGAAAACTAGTGAAAATAAAAATGGTCTTTAATTCTCCATCCTTAGATCTGGATTTTCTAAATGAAGGTCCAGATTTGGTTATTGATGGGTGCATAACCATGGGTTATGCACCCTATCTTGAGCCCATGCAACCGTTTAAATTATCAAAACCGTTTAAATTACCAAATTATATCTCCAATTCCAACAGCAAGCACTCTGCCTCTCTGAGCTGCGTCCGTGGGGAAAAGCAGTGAAATTCTCACCGGAATTAGAAACTTCGAGTTTGTTATCCAATCAGACTGAAAGCGGAAACGAGGGAGAGAGATGGGGGAAGGGATTGAATTTAACTTGGTAAACGAAGGTGCCATTGGATCAGATTTTGGCGTTGCCCCATGGAGAGAGGTAGAGATCGACGATGGAGAAGAGCTCATCGTCCTCGAAGACTCAAACCAGGTAGTTGACGATGAAATTGGCGCTATAAGGGCAGAGAGACTCGTAGTAGAGAGCCACAGGGACCTTATTGCTGGTGCTGGTGATGGAGTCTGTAGCGTGAGTAAGTTGAGAACACGAAGCGGAGAGCAGCAGCAAAGAGAGGAAGGAGACCAAGACCGTGGAAATCCGGGACTTCGAAAGTGTAGACAGTGGAGAAATGCAATTGGGATGTGCGTAGAGCTGAAAATTTGTTTGTCCCGTCCCTGTTCCGTCCCTGATCCGTCCCTGAAGGGTCAAGATGTATAACCGTCCCGTCCCGTCCCTGTCTCCTTCTTGACCCTTTCTGATCCTCAAGGGTTGGGACGGGACGGGACGGGCCGAGTCAGTGGGTCGACCCTAATCAACACACTACTTTTTTACAAATTATGTTTTGGTACCCAGAATTATTTTTTCTTACAATTTAGTACCTAAAATTTATTTTTTTACAAATAAGTCCATAAATTTTGATGGTAAAATTACATTTTGGTACCCAAATTTTTTTATTTTTACAAATTAGTACCTAAACTTTTAAAAATTTACAAAAAGGTCCAATGAAGTATGAGATATTTGCTGTTGCTAAGGGTCACAGGGTCAAAATGTGACCCGTCCCTAAGTTGTCCCGACCCGTCTCGACCCTTACAGGGTCAACAAATGACTCGTCCCTAATCTGTCCCTGTAGACAAACTGACCCGTCCCGACCCTTAGGGACGGGACGGGTCGGGACGGGTCAGTGGGTCTTCCGGGACAAGCTTTCACCCCTAAATGTGTGTGTGTGTGTTTTTTTTATAAGAGGAAGACTTGTATTGCATTGAAAATCGTGGTTACAACAATGGAGTCCAAAGTCAGAGCAATCTAAAACAAAAGATAAAGCCAGAAAATGAACAGGAATTAAATTGATCTCTAACAGAAGAAAATCCATATCAGGTGGCTAACAATGCGAGAGCAAATCCCCTTGCTTCCACAACTAACATCCCAGCACAAGCAAGGTTTCAACTTGCAATGCCATAAGTCGCCACCTGAGGATTGTTCAAAGACGACCCATCACAGTGAATCTCATGGAAGGGATTACTCGGCGGTGGATAGGCTGAAACAGGAATGCTCTGAGCTGAAAAAGTCGCATACGTGGTTGTTGGCTGCCCCGCCAGGCTCAAGTTAGGGTGCATACCCATGGTTATGTACCTATCAATAACCGAATCTGGACCGTTCATTTAGAAAATCCAGATCTAAGGATGGAGAATTAAATGTCATTTTTATTTTCACTAGCTTTCTTAATTGACTCATATTTTTTTCGTTTTAACTCAGATTTTAATTTTTTTTGCACAGATGGAACGAGTTCATCGTGCTCTACAAAATGAGATCAATTTTCAATATTTTTTGAGGAAAAAAAAATTCTGGCCTCTCGGTACCAACTGCATACCATATGGTATCTTCTTCGTTTTTAATTCGTTTTTGAAAACGTTTGCACAGCAGGGACGAGTTCATCATGATCTATTGGATCTACAAATTTCTGGGTGAACAAATTACAAGACCAAAAAATACCACACAATACCATACAATACCACCCTGATACGGTGTTGTATCTTATGGTATCTTATGGTATACAATGTTTTAACTCAGATTTTAATTTTTTTTGCACAGATGGAACGAGTTCATCGTGCTCTACAAAATGAGATCAATTTTCAATATTTTTTGAGGAAAAAAAAATTCTGGCCTCTCGGTACCACTGCATACCATAGTGGTATCTTCTTCGTTTTTAATTCGTTTTTGAAAACGTTGCACAGCAGGGACGAGTTCATCATGATCTATTGGATCTACAAATTTCTGGGTGAACAAATTACAAGACCAAAAAATACCACACAATACCATACAATACCACCCTGATACGGTGTTGTATCTTATGGTATCTTATGGTATACAATGTTAAAAGCGTAAATGACAATTAATAAACTTTTACTATCATGTATTCAACCATCCTACAGTTTTGGTTTGTGTCATACCACCATGGTACGCTTTTCAAACCATAGGTATGCTCTTATTTCAATACCAGTCAATACCATATGGTATAGACTGGTAAAAAATGACTCAATTTTTTTTTGTTCGAAAAATATAATAAAGTGGATATCATTTTGAAGAGCACAATTAATCTGATCTAACTGTGCAAAAAAAAATAACTTTTGACTTAAAACGAGTGAGAAATCGTCCGTCAAAGATTAAGGAGGGGAAAATTAAAGACTTTCCAGGAGAGAGAAGATGCTGATGTCATGCTGATGTGGGCGGGTTACTCATAGTTACTCACCATAAGGTTACTGACCTGATCCCTTCCCGCCCCGCCACGATCCTGACACTAATAATTCTCTTAAACGTTGTCCATTTTTATGGCTCCAATTTTATGTGTAACCAAGCTCTCGAAAAACATACTACTAACGGGTGAGAGAACAATGGAAAATAAGAAAGAGAAAAAGCTCTAACCTCTTTCTTCCTCTCTTTTCGGGAGCAAATCCGGTGAGTAACCTTGTGGTGAGTAACCCCATGCATAACCCAATAAGAATCTGCCACATCAGCGCCTCCTTCTCTCTCCTGAAAAAATTATTAATTTTATTTCCCTTAATATTTAACGGACGATTTTTCACTCGTTTTAACTCGGAATTTAATATTTTTTGCACAGTTAGATCAGATTAGTAGTGTTCTTCAAAATGATATTCACTTTGATATTTTTTTGAACAAAAAAATTTTGCCAGTTATTACCAGTCTATACCATATGGTATTGACTGGTATTAAATAACATCATATGGTATTGAATGGTATTTTTCGTACCATATGGGATGAATGGTATTAAATAACAGCATACCATATGGTATGAAAAATACAACCTCATACCAGGGTGGTATAGTATGGTATGGAGTTGGTAACGAGAGGTTCGAAATTTTTTCCCCCAGAAAATTTTGAAATCCAATAGATCAAGATTAAATCATTCTTTTTGTGCAAAAATTTCCGAAAATAACTAAATAACGAAGGAGATACCATATGGTATAGAGTTGGTAACGAGAGGGATGCAAATTTTTTTTTTCTCAAAAAATATTGAAAATGGATATAATTTTGTAGAGCAAAACGAACTCGTTCCATCTGTGCAAAAACAAAAAAATTGAAAAATCCGAGTTAGAATGAAGAAGATATGATCCAATTAAGAAAACTAGGGAAAATAAATTCTTTTAATTCTCCACCCTTAGATTTGGAGTCACTTAAAAGAAGAGTCCAGATTTGGTTACTCATTGTTACTCACCCTATGGTTACTCACCCTATCTTGAGTCCGCTTTTCATGTTTGTTACCATTGTGAGATGGAGCCTCTTTTGGAGGCAATTGTCCCCGATCCCAAACCACCAAATGGTCATCGGCAACAACGTCGATTGAGTCGAGCAAGAAGGCGAAAACGACAACGAAAGATTCACTGGAAAGGAAAGTATGGATTTGCGATAGTCACGGTGAAAGAGGATGCAGACCCTAAGATGGAGGGGTTTGAAATGAATCGACCTTCAAGCCAAGAAACATATGAAAAGTAGGGGTGGCTATACGGTCCGGTCCGGTTAAATTGACCCAAATTGATCCGGTCTAGTCCGGTCTTTCGAAAATATAAGGACCAAAGATTGGATTGGATACAGTTCGGTCTTGATTTCATATTGAGCTTGTGGGGATTTGAGAGGCCTAAGCCCTGAAAGGGTGAGTAGTTGGTTAAGTTTTGTACTAAGTGCAAAGGTTTGTGACCGTTTATGCAAATTACTCTTAAGTTTTGGGTGTTGAGCTCGCTTAACCGGTCTTTATCCAGTTTTCGATCCGGTCCCGAACGGTTTTTTACCTCAAATCCAAGCCCAAAGATTGGATTGGATTGTTTACTATCCGGTCCCAGTTCGGGTTATACGGTCCGGTTTTGGGTAAAACCAAAAAACCCGAACCAAATAGCCAGCCCTAATGAAAAGGATGGGCTAAATTACACGTTTGGTCACTCAAATTATACAAATATTCCACCTTTGCCACCCGAATTACTTTTCTTTCTTATTCGCCACTAACTTTACGAATAGTTTCACCGTTAGTCACCGACCATTACACTCCGTTAAATTTGTTCTACGTGGCAGTCAACTATAAAGTTTGACCGTTAACTAAATCCTATTTCATGACCATTTATAGCAAACTCAAATAAGATCTTCAGTTTTGATTTAGTCATAGGCTCATAGCAGTGGCAGTGACCAGGGCATCGAAAGATATTTTCAAATAATAAACTAAACAAAAAAACTCTTAATCGTTCTTTCCAAACCACAACTGATACTATACTCCTAAATTCCAAACCTAAACAAAAAACATAACTTTTTCTTTCATTCTGAAATCACACACAGGGGCTGCGATTTTCGGTTATCTAAAAATCATTTAGAATCCCAAAACATCACCCTATACACAGGAACATAACCCTTTTTATCCATTCTGAAATCACAAGCAGTGGCTGTGATTTTCGGGTTCCCTTAAACCATTAGTTAACAAAACCCAGCAAAACAAACGATTTACAAAGTTTTACCATAAACACCAACTAGCTTATAACCCGGCCAATTGGCCGGAATTTTCATATTTATATTTTTATGTTACGTTTAAGCTAATCAACCGGTTTAATTTTATTGGCAATCCTTCGATCGAAATGATACATAAAGTATAGGTTTAACATTCGGAGAAATACCATCACCATTTAAGAATATAAAATATAAAATGTATCATTAATTCAATTTTCATAATGATCTCATTCAAATTCTATTGGTTAGTTGATTGTCAAGAAAGAGGGTATAAAAGCTCAGTGAAATTCCACACGACTCATAGATAGTTTGAAACTAAATCTTAAACCTCACAATCCTACATAAGGGTTTAATGCGCTCCTTTTATGAACAATATGCCACTAATCAAAAAGAAATGGAGAGTTGTTGATTCAAGTCAACTATATACTAACAACTCAACTAAAAGGGGACCATCAAAATTTGAGAGCAAACGACAAAATTAAGGTTATCTCCAACATACTAATAGACTCAATCAAAGTAATAAGACACAAAATTAGACACTCCTTGTCTATCAGTTCCAGTAGATTGAATAAAGAATCGACCTACTTCAATAAATCAATCAATGATT